GCATTTTTGCGCGGTATAACATCGCGACCGTGTTAAATTTTTAGCACACTCTTTGAAGTTAAAGTTTCTTTCGATTTGTACAAGCAGGACTTCGTAAGCTGTAAGGCTTTCTATTAGCTCACCAATACAATTCTAGTTGTCAATATCCAGTGCAACATCGGTCAATGAATCGCCGAACAGAATGGTGTCTCGACTTGTTGTCTGTTTATTTAATCCTGCTTTTCGATTCTTTCTTTATTTTCGAATTTCTCATTTTCTTAAAGCAGCTTGCTAAACATGGGCCGAACGAGCAATGACGTCTGCTCTTGAAATCGTAAAGTTGTGAAGGTAGCTAGCCAAGCACAAATGCATAGATAATTGACAAACGTAAGCTTTAGTATTAGAGCAAACTTGTATGATGCAAAGCAAATGACTTTACCTCCTTTGATAAGTGAGGGATTTTCCAGCTACGAACTGTTCAGCCCAACGGACTATCAATTTCAGCTTTATTTTTGCGAATTATATAATTATATGCGCGTGCTACTGTAAACATGTGCACACCCTTCCATTTGACGTCTTGTCGGAGTATTTTAACAGTTGTCTCGCACCATGAAGAAAGGTTATACACCCGAAACGTCTGAAATTACAACCATTTATGAGACTTTGATATTTATTTCAAAATATTTATCATTCTGCTTGTAAACTGTGTTCTCAAAAGCAAATGAATGCATGCACAGAGTCCAGAGGAGTTAACTTAAAGTTTGTTCAGTTTGCAAACTAAAAAACTCAGTAATACCTTCCACAATTTTAATTTTAATTATCCTCACGTTACAGTTGCGTTACGAAACATATATACTGCAGCACTAAAGACTAAGAGCTCGTAAGATGCCAAGATCGCCATACGGTACTTCGCAGCCTCGTTCGGAAAGTTTCGTTTTGCACCAACTAACTAGCACTTATTCATTTTCAAAATGCCGATTTGCATAGAGTGACGAGCAGCGACCGCGTCGATCAGGAGCCGGAAATCTGTTCCTAAAGGATCCACAAAGATCCGGTACTGGGCTTAGTACATGTAATTGCGTGAAACGATAAGGATATATATTTAACAAGGTAAGAAGTTTTAAAAAACAATAATTCGTGTGTGCAAACTGAGCTCCTCTGAACCTAGTTGACACGTAGTGCTCACTGAATTACTTGAGAAAATCCTGTTCAAGACAAAGAGCCGTAAATTGCTGTGAATGTTTGCTTTTTTTTAATTGAAACTTTTAAATAGGACAGTAGATTTTCTTTATTTTCGCTTATATACTGTATGAGTAATATACTTTATAACCACCATTCTCACAAATAAGAAGCTGACAAACACAACTAACAAAGTAAGATGGGCTGTATAAGATAAGCTAGCATGTAAAGAATTCTACCATGTTAAGGAAACAAAGGAACTTAGCGTGTTACAAGAACAAAAAATCTAGTGTGTTACAAAAACAAAGCTCTACTGTGTTAACCAGATATGAACAATGGTTATGAACACGCTCTCCAGTATCAATTGTTTTCATGCGCATACTAATGACGCGACACGTAAGTGTGTCGTGTCATTAGCATGCGAGCGTGTTATAACATGCCATGTGTGTGCGTTCACCTTATTCCCTGAAATCTCATGGAGGGTCACAAGTGGTATAATTTCAGAGCTGAGGAAAGAGTTTCCAGCAATTAATCTGATTGGTTGAGTGGTTCCTTATATGATGCTTTATAAAAAGGGCTCCATGCAGTTTATACAAAATGTTAATAAATGTTACTAAAATGTTATGATTTTAGAAATTTCTCAGTTGTTCAGCTCTGAAATTAGACTAAAACAATTATTCACCTCAGGTTTGGTGAATATTGTCAAATGATCCCCACGACTTCATCTCGGGGATTATTCGACGATACTCACCTCGCCTTCAGCGAATAATTGTTAAACAGAAATATGTTGTTTAAACAGTGTTAATAGTCACCTTAAGAAAATCTTAGCATGGTTACTATTTGAAGATTCAAGTGTTGACTGTGAATGAAGTTTATTCAATAGAAAACTTCCAATTAAATGACCCAAGTATTGTTTCAAGTATAATAATTAATAATTAATAATTAAGTATTAATAATCGCTTTAAGAAAATCTTAGCATGGTTACTATTTGAAGATTCAAGTGTTGACTGTGAATGAAGTTTATTCAATAGAAAACTTCCAATTAAATGACCCAAGTATTGTTTCAAGTATAATTTCAGAGCTGAGCAAAGAGTTTCCAGCAATCTGATTGGTCAAGCGGTTCCTTATATGATGCTATATAAACTGCTCCACAAAGTTTAAATAAAATGTTAAATAAAATGTTAATAAATGTTACTAAAATGTTATGATTTTAGAAATTTCTCAGTTGTTCAGCTCTGAAATTAGACTAAACAATTATTCGCCTCAGGTTTGGTGAATATTGTCAAATGATCCCCACGACTTCATCTCGGGGATTATTCGACGATACTCACCTCGCCTTCAGCGAATAATTGTTAAACAGAAATATGTTGTTTAAACAGTGTTAATAGTCACCTTAAGAAAATCTTAACATGGTTACTATTTGAAGATTCAAGTGTTGACTGTGAATGAAGTTTATTCAATAGAAAACTTCCAATTAAATGACCCAAGTATTGTTTCAAGTATAATTTCAGAGCTGAGCAAAGAGTTTCCAGCAATCTGATTGGTCAAGCGGTTCCTTATATGATGCTATATAAACTGCTCCACAAAGTTTAAATAAAATGTTAAATAAAATGTTAATAAATGTTACTAAAATGTTATGATTTTAGAAATTTCTCTGTTGTTCAGCTCTGAAATTATACTAATAAAAATAATTATTCGCCTCAGGTTCAGTGAATATTGTCGAATAATCCCTCGACTTCGTTTTGGGGATTATTTGACAATATTCACCTTGCCTTCAGCGAATAATTGTTAGATATATAATGACTAATCACTTTCATAACAATTTTTCACCTCAAAAGTTATCAACTGAAGTAGATTGCATTTTCCGATGCATTAGTTCAGTTATATATCACAGATCATATCAAAATATGATAGATACATTCTTTTTTTTTTTATATATATATATATAAGAACCTTTTTCATAACTGGACACATACTTGCATTCACCTGGGCTTTCTGTTGGAAAGAGACTTTGTTTTTTGGGCCTACATTTGTGTAATCTGCTGATTGGCGTTCAGGTCTACTGCTTCTCTTAATTAACATAAGATAGCTTGGTTGATGTAGCATGTTTCTTGATGAAACGTTCACTTATAAATGTTCACAAATAAAGAAGTCTCTCCAGGGTTCCTGGACTGACCTGTTCTGAAAATAAATGCCATTTTTTGGTGTGGGTCTAGCATGAATGCTTTGCACATATTTTGTAAGGGTTTTGAGCATATTATACACAGTATCTGGGCTGATTTTGCACCACAAAATTTTCTCTTCTTCTGCCATTATGCCATGCTATGTGCTCATTAGTCAAAAATGTCACACATGCGTGTTAAGGACCTAGCTACGATTTGCGACTGAACAAAAAAAGAAAAAAAAGGCCGGAATTTCAACTCAGCCATTTCTTTTGGAAAGCCCATCAAATAATGTTTGGGCTGAGATAACCAAAATTTTAAATACATACCTAGCCTGAGAGTCAGTCATTACTTTCTTTTTTCGCAAGAAGTTTACATGAAAGGTGAAAGAAATGGAGAGCTTTGGTCTCACAAGACAATTAATTCAAATTCTTAGGGGCTTTTTTTTTTTAACATAAACAATGCAGTGATCTTATTCTGCAATAAACTGAAGAACAACTCAGTTTGTCATCAAATTTCATGTGGTCACATCTTAATTGATTTATTGAAATACCATCTCAATGTTATGTACGCTTTTAGGGACAAATTATAAAAAAAATAAGAATATTGAACCCCGGCCCCAAAATTAGACTTTCTTATGAAAAAAAAAAAAGAGTGTAATCTGTGACCTATTATTGAACATTCGCTCCGACGAAGGGCTAACGCTCAAAACGTCAGCTTTTGTAATCACTACGGTGGCCAATTTACCATTTCAACTTTGTTGATATATCCAAATTGTATTATTGAACAGATGCATGGCAGCGTAGAATCTATTTACAGTTTAGAACTGTTTTTATGATAAAATGTTCTTAGAGTTAATCTAAAATACACTAGGCTGACAGATTGACATTTGTTTAATTATCTCTCTACAGTCATGGGATGCTTATTTCCGTCAAGTTCAAAGCGGAAAGCCTCCAGGACAAGCTTATCAGCCACCTCCCATCTTGGGACAAAGTCCCGGCATGGTAGCAACGAGACAAACTGTTCCAAGTGCTGTGGACCAATCCACAATCAACGAACTGGTGTCAGATCACATGGCAGTTTACTCATTGATTCGTTGTTACCAGGTAATACAAAATCTGCAGTCAAAATTTTTTCTCCTTTTTTTTTTCCCACTAGCTAAAGATGCACCTGGCAATTTTGGTTGTCTGTTTAACCAAGACACTAAAAAACCTTTCAACTTCTAAGATCTGATTGTTAATTCTCCCTACTCTAGCTGCTACATTTTTCCATGTAAATTGGTTACAAGAATTTTGTGTCAGATCAAGATAACAACTTTTTCTTGATAAGTTTGAATATTCTCATTACTTGTTTGTGGGATAATGTATGGATATTATAGGGAGAAGTTACATGTTGATCACTTCTGGGAGTTAAAGGGATTATTAAGCTATCACACCTCCTCTTCCTCCATCTAAGCTAGTGTATCAAGACATGTACCAGTTTGGAAAACAGTCACAGAAAGTTAGAGGAAAGTAAATAGATGGTAAATAAATAATAAATAAATAAATAAATAGATAATTTAGCAATGGACATTCTCCTGGGTGGCTCTTCTTGTCCACTGTTTCCAGATTGAATTGGAATTTGGAATGTTGGTTTTTGCGTAGGGAGGAAAACTGGAGGACCCGGAGAAAAACCCTCGGAGCAACAATGAGAACCAACAACAAACTGAATCCACATGTGATGCCCGGTCCAGGAATCAAACCCGGGCCACAGTTGTGGGAGGCGAGTGCTCTCACCACTGTACCATCGATCCCTGCTCCCCTAAGTGATAACAAAAAAGTGATAATGATGACTTGGAATATCTTTAAAACAATAGCTTTTGAGCCTTGCTTCTGATGCATGTGTAGTTATTTAAAAAGATTTATGTGAAGTCATAATTTTCACAATCATAATGTCGGAAAGTGATTTTGATCAATTTTTCTTACAGATCCGAGGCCATCATATGGCTCAATTAGACCCACTCGGCATCTTACAGGCTGACTTATCTGAAACTGTCCCAGCTGACCTCTCTTTAGAGTACTGGGGACTGGGTAAGTCATTGGTTTATAAATTTTGTCCTTACAAGACCATCACCATGTCTATAATTAAGATGGTTACTCTTTTAGAACCTGTTAAAGTTCCGAAATTTTGTGAGATGTTTGCGAACAGCATTTGACCCATTTTCAATGACACATGTACAACTCTATAGATTGCATGTCATCAAAAAGTGTAACAAAGCTTCCAGGAACTGCTTTTCACCAATATTTGTATTTTGTTTAACCCTAGGACCACTTAGAGCGACCAGCATCTAATTTCTCCTTACAATATCACCCCTGAATCACACAGTCATGCAGGTGGCAAGAATAAAAGAAATGATCACCAACTGAATTGAAGCCCTTGACTGTTAAACAAATTCCCCTTGTCAGCACCTTAACGCATGCATAATTTGCATGCAAATCTGCTATCTTGCATGCATTTTACACGGATGTAGGTGCTGCCATTCTTGCAGCCAGCAGTATACCGAGAATAGAGAATGTTCTGGTATTAGGGTTTAAAATTCATAGCTCATGGCTATTTTTCTTCCTTTGTATAGGTGAGAGTGATCTCGATAAAGTATTCCAGCTCCCTAATACCACATATATTGGTGGAGACAATGATGTTTTGACTTTGAGAGAAATACTTAACAGGCTGAATGTAAGTTGGTGACTGTTTGATGATATAATAATTTCACACTCTCTGTTTTTTTTTTAACACGAATGTCTAATTCTGAGCCTGGGGTTAAGCATTCTTACTTTTTGCTGCGATTTGAGTCTTAAAACATACTTAACTTGTTTGTAAAGTTGTGTGGTATGGTAATTTAATAAAACAATGGTAAAAAAATGTCTCTAAGTGTTTGAGTTAATTTTCATGTTAGATCACAGTTGAGTCATGTTAGCTCACAATTTTACATTTCTTTTATCTATATCATTGACTTTTCGCACACAAAAAAACGAGCAAAATAAAGAAGTTCTTAGCTGACAATCTCATCTGAAGGTTCTCATAAAAAAGGTTCTTATGAAATAAAAGAATCTACTAAATTATGTATTTTATGAACCCTTTCAATCTTAAGATCCCATTCTTAATTTTCCCTAACTGCTAAAATCTGTTTGTGATCATAGCTTTAGGAATGTAATGTTGAATCAAACAATATTTTACCCAGGCACTTTTCTTTCCCGCAGAATGTCTACTGTGGACACATTGGATTGGATTACATGTTCATTCCAGAAAAATCTAAATGTAATTTATCTTACGTGTATATGTTAAATGTGCACCTGAATTGGCATGCTAACTGAGTGGAAGTTGTTGGAATGCTGCTGTTTGCTTCCAAGGAAGAGATTTTTCCTTCAGTTTTTCCCATCCCTTGAGCCATACAACTAATGAAAATGCTTTTATTACAATTGCATCTTCTTAATGGTTTCAAAACTAGATACTTCATTGGATGAAAAACAATTAAACCCCCCCCCCCCTCGTTTAGCTCAATGGATAGAGCGCTGGACTGTTGTTGTTCGGGAGGTCGAGGGTTCAAGCCCCGGCCAGACCAACACTCAAGGTCTTAAAATAATTGAGAAGAATTTGCTGCCTTTCTATAGAATCAAGAAATGGTTAGATATTCTAGTCTTCTCGGATAGGGACGAGTAAATGGAGGTCCTGTCTCCTGCAGGAGGGGTAGAAGACATTAATTTCCCATGCATGAGATTACTGTGTGATGGATGTCCTTCCCCGGGGTGGGATGGGTGGGTTGGGTTTAGGTGGATGAACCTAGTAGGGGACTACATGTCCTATTGTTCTTCCACCTGTACAATGTACAAATCTTTAGAAACAAAGAAAGCTCTTTGTGGAGAATAACATCAAAGTCTCCCATCCAGTCCAGTCCAGTCCAGCCTTTAACCCAGGTTGCATGATCCCATTTGTGTGATTCCAGTCTATCTTAATAGTCAAAGGGTGCAGAGAGATGAGATCAAAGCCGTTTCTGGTAGTTGTTGATTGCATACTTTTTTGATCAAATCTACTGGTTTTATTTTATTATAATTTCTTATTTTTTCTATTTCCAAGGTGATTGGATAAGGAAGAGATTTGAGACTCCAGGAATTATACAACTAGACATGGAGGACAAAAGAACTTTAGCCAAGAGGCTCATTCGCTCTACAGGGTAGGAATTCACTGCTCCTAATTATTAGTAAGACCGTCTAGTACCTCACTCTGAACTCTCACTCTCAACTGCTACTAAGACAAATTTTCTCTTTATAATAATTATCAATACAATATGAACAGGGCTGTGGTCTAGCAGGGCCCGGTGGCCCATTGGCGACTTACGTTTGCTCTTGGGCAACTCAAGAATCTTAGTTTTTTCATAAAAAGCATATGCTGGGCACCCTGGATTTTAACAGTTTCAGAGCACTGGGCTCCCTTCAATTTTTCTTAGAGCACAGCCATGATGAAGCAGATAAACAGTGAGAAAATGGGAAAAAATTCATGTAGAGGAATATCATTTGATCCAAGAGTAAATTCTCAGAGGTGAAATTAGAAATGATGTATGGCAGACAGTGTGAATAATTATTGTTTAAAAGAGATCTTGGGAGTGTCCTCTCATTATGGGTGAGATGGCGATTTTTGTATCCAGAGTTAAAACAAGCTTCCTTCCCAAATTGCTTTTTTCCCATTTTTTGGGCAATATTGCAAATAACATTTGTCAAAATGACTGCAAAAACCTAAAACGGGTACAATAAAAAAGCAGAGAAGAGGCAATTCTATTAAACCAAGATGTAATGGTGGTGGTAAAATGTGGGTAATACAAAAAACAGATTGCAGATGATGAGTTTGAAAATTTTTGCTTTGTTTTTTTTTCTCACTGACTTTGGCCAACTTTTAATTTGCTCCTTCAATTTGGAAGTCAGCTTTTAAAAGTTCAACAATTGTTTCGTCTGAATAGTCTTTTGTCCAAACTGTGTTCAGTGAACACACTAGCAAGAAGACGTATGGACTGCAACTGATTAATAGATGTTGTTGTTGTTGTTGCGTTAGCTTGCAAGGTGGTTGAATATTATTTCCCAGTTTTCCTTTTGCAATTTCTTCTAATAATGTCTTGTAGGTTTGAGGCTTTTCTAGCCAAGAAATGGTCATCAGAGAAGCGCTTTGGCATTGAAGGCTGTGAAGTGTTGATTCCAGCAATGAAGACAATTATTGACAAGTCCAGTGAGTTTGGTGTGGAGAGCATCATCATGGGAATGCCACACAGGGGCAGACTTAATGTTCTTGCTAATGTCTGCCGCAAATCACTGGAACAGATCTTTACCCAGTTTGATCCAACCCTGGAAGCGTCTGATGAAGTATGTTTGCAGGATCATGGCACTATTTTAAACGTAAGGCTTTTTTCCTCAAAGATGTTTGCACCCAAAATCTTGCCCAATCATTATAAACAGCATAATCACTGTCTGTGGCCTTTCCTTACATTTGGGTAGTTCTGAAAGCAGCATAGTTCTACAACACAAGTTTATCTATCAAATCGGTAAAGATTCCTTATCCCCAGGGCATCAACAAACACTTTTTACTCAACTAATTTAGTCCTGTTTTTTTCTATACCAGGGCTTGATACTAACTTTCCAACTTACCAGCCAAGTGGCTGGGGACAACGCAGATGTTACAACAATTTCAGTTTGTCTACTAGCCAAACTGGCCATTGCAAATCGAAAACCACTGGCCAAAACTGAATTTCTACTAGTCTGTGGCTAGTTGGCTACTGTTAGTGTTGAGCCCTGATTACCATGTTCCCACCAATAGCCCAGCCTACTCCATTTTGTGCATACAAACGCACATACAACCTCAAATTCCTTCCTTCACTCTGACAAAGGGCTAACGTTCAAAATGTCTGCGTTGAAACTCTACCGTGTTATTATGCACATTTAATTAGATGTCAAAATGCTTGTATCTACATTTAAGCCACAGTCCTTAACTTTTATCTCATTTTTTTCAATAAAAAACTGCAGCCTATCCAAGGGTAAATATGGTACTTGGTACTTCAATTAGCAGTGAATGATGTTTTAACAACCTGAGGGATGTGGTGATTAGAGTTAAGTCTTATTACGACATCCCGTAGGCTGATGAAACACCAGTTACTACTTGTGGGAGGGAGCTGATGTAAACATTTGCAGAAGTTCCTTGTTGTTTTGGTATCTTAACCCTTTCACACTCTAATTCCCATCTCTTATTTCTCACTAACTGTACAGTCAAGAATTTGGTGTAACTTTAACTTTTAGTCTGATTTTTTAACATTCGACTTACAATTAATTTTTTGACTGGTCCTGCGAGTGTGAAGTTGACATGATATCTCATTATCTGCAGCAGATATTGGGTTATTATGTTGAGTTCAAAGTCTGCCTAGTTTCCACATGAAATCATGAATAATATTTATCAAACCATCTGTCTGTGTTATGTGTTATCTGCCTCAGTCTTTGGCCTTGGTAGATAGCTCAGACCTTGGGATTGATAATTCATGATATGCTCAACCTCATAAAATAATTGCTTTAGTTAATATTCACATCACCATTTTGTTGGATAATGTTTGGATATTTTAGGGAGATGTTACTTGTTAATCACTTGGAGTTAAAGGTTAAGGATATATACCCACTACAGCTCTTTGAATGTTAAGGTTGTTTATTATCTGTCATGACTTCTCCCCTGAACGGAATCATATTTTAAGGGGACAGATAATGGGAGTGAAGAAAATCATCAATTTGGAAGTTATCGTTGGTAGTGTTGGATGTGACAACAAAATTTCAAACAAGATTGGCTGGAAATGTTCATTTCTTATCCAACTGAACAAAGTGGAGCACAAATAACATGCAAACAGAGTACAAATATCCTGAAATATTGGACAGGTGGTCATTTCATTTTGTATTGCAAGAAGACCTTTTTAACCTGTTAGCTGCACGAACTGCACTTCCCCATCCACTTTGCCTTTAAGTTATGAAAAATGAGCAGAAACAGTTGGCAGAAAAAAAGGCAGTTGGATAATAAATAACTTAGACATTTTAGTCTGTAGTATTGCTTAATATTTTCTCTTGTTTGTATTTTGACTCACTCCCATGGGCTCATCAAAGTATGGCACAACTTCAGTTGTAAAATGCACAGCGATACTACACACCAATGCATCTAATAAGACATAATAGTCCATTTTACAGTTGTGTGCTTGGTTGCCAAGCCTTTGAATGGGAGTGAGGCTAGGGTTGACCTTGTTATGATACAAACCTTGCTGCCTTTCAAATGTAAATCACTTTGTTATCATGCTAACTAGATACGGGTCTCTATCACAACAAGGTCATTTTTAGCCTCACTCTTAATCAAAGGCTTGACAACTAAGTACACAACTGTAAAATGACCTATTATGTATATCATTGGCCTGGTAGAGTGGGCATTGAGAACAGGGGTTATTCAACGCACTGTTCTTTCCTTTGTCACAGGGATCAGGAGATGTGAAGTACCATCTAGGGATGTCTCACGAGCTTCTTAATAGAGCAACAAACAAACTTGTGCGCCTGGCTGTTGTGGCAAATCCCTCCCATTTGGAAGGTTTACAAATTCTTTCTCTTTTTCATTAAATTTTATTGTGCATTTGCGAAGCCAATTAGAAAGTAACAATCTGCAACAAAGTGATTGGCCTATTAGCATTGAGATTGCAATATTCTGGCCATGGAACAGCAAACAAAATTAATTAGCTAGCTTTGCTGTCAACTCTTCCTCTTGTGCAATGTCACCTTGCATTCTGGGAAGGAATGAGGTACTAGGGCAATGGTCAGCCATTTTAAACAGTATCTCTCGACATTCCCTTAAAAATTTGGTTGTAGAAAGTAATCCATCTGAACTATTTTCCTCAAATTTTGCCTGGATACACCAGTATGTCAATGCATGACAAAAATAGGAGACAATTACTTTTTACAGCATCCTCACAGGGAGTCTGAATTTGTTCTTATTAGTCAGTGTTTGGTCGTGTTTGTCAGTTAAAGTTGTTGTGTTCATTTAGCTGTGGATCCTGTTGTTGAAGGGAAGACCAGATCTGAGCAATTTTATAGAGGGGACTCACAAGGGAAAAAGGTAGTTTTAGATTGAGTATTTTCAAATAAACAATTTAACTTGTAGCTTGTTGATTTCCAAAGCAGAAAGAATTTAGTATGCATGTTGTTGCTTTCCATTTTCTTGAGATTGCTCCATCTGGGGTGTAATGGCACTATCATTCAATTTTTATCATTGTTTTATTTTATTTTATAATTTTTTTTCATTACATCAACATCAACAAGGTGATGAGTGTTCTGATTCATGGGGATGCAGCATTTTCTGGGCAGGGTGTGGTCTATGAGACTTTCCATTTAAGTGCGCTGCCACAGTATACCACACATGGCACCATACATATTGTCGTTAACAACCAGGTTAGTTTTAGTGATTTGGAATTGAATATATTATTTATTATTAAAAACTGGATCATTGGATAATGCAATTCAAGACTTTTTATTGGCTTAGCCATTATGGTATATCAGCCAATATACCATAATCTACAAATATGGTAAGCGTACGCGTCAGCTTAAAATCAAAAGGGAGCTAAAAAATCCAGTTTCTTCTTACAAAATAATAATTTCTTGGGGGCGTTTTTAATAAAACAATTATTCCACTCGCGCTTGTTGGATATGAGATGATTATAGCCAACTCGGCACTACGCGCCTTGTTGGCTATCTATCTTCTCATATCCAACGTGCACTCGTGGAATAATTGTTAAATAGAACCACATATTTGAATAAATTCCTTGCAATCTGATTGGTTAATGAAGGGAGGTATTTGCTGTGGGGTTTTGAGTTGAAAACAAGGCTGAGTGATATTGTTTCATTCACTAAATGTGGTTTCGTCAATTTTAAACTGCTTATTACAGACTAGCAGAGAAAAATGAATAGTGCAGTTAGATTGTAATGACTATTTTAATGATTGCTTCCTTTCAACTATATAATATTTTTAACTAAAATATACTTCAGACAGAACAAGTGTTATTTTCAAAGGTCTCAATTCTTTCATTAATAACATATAGGGCAAAAATAATGAAAGTTGATGGGTCAATGAAGAGGGTATTTTTTCTTAATTTTGCTTGTGAAGAGGGCAAAATTACGGTACTTGTGTTTTGAATGCTTTAACTTTGTCTCAAAAAGCACTAACTTTATATTTCAAAGTTGAAAGTTTGTGAGCAGGCCTGGTTTTCAATGTCCTGGTATGTTTGTGCAAAAGTAAAATTTCATTCAGCTCATTCGTGTGTTTGTGGTGATTGATTCTTTGTCAACATTAAATGGTTTCCTGTGACTGGTTACTCAAGAGTGCATTCAAATTCAGTATTTTTCCCCTCTATTTTGTTATACTAATTAATTTTGTAGTTAATGTGTAATTTTATATTCCACAAAGCCTTTTGAAATATGATGACCACTTCTTTGATTTCAGATTGGCTTCACCACTGATCCAAGGGTTGCTCGATCCTCTCCTTATTGCACTGATGTCGCCAAGGTGGGCACACGGAATCTTATCTTTTAGATCAAGTAGCTTCCTTCAACTTCCCTCCTTAGTTGCCAAGTAATTGTTAGAATTGGAATATCTAGGTGGTTTCTTTGGAACATGCTTATGTGTTAAATTCCAACTTTTCTTGTGTAAGTAAATTACAAATTAAAGAAAAACTGCTTTCAAAAATTTTGAACCACAAAATAGGGACACTCAAAGATTGAAGATTTCTTGACTCCAGAGCAATAAACACAAATGCAGACAACAACATATATTTAATTCTTCAATGCTACCTTGGTTATTGGCTTTAAGGTCAACTTTTTCAGGATTGCCATTTGGCAACCTGCATATTCATTCATAAAATGGTCACTGAAAAAAAATATTCTCTGCAAAGAAACCCCAAAAAAGAGAAGAAATAGGACACTTTAACTTGGACATTTGTTATATCTGACAGCTATTGTGTAAACTTTTGCATTTAAAATCTTCTTCTTATAGGTTGTAGATGCCCCCATTTTCCATGTGAATGCTGATGACCCAGAGGCTGTTATGCATGTGTGTAAAGTTGCAGCAGAATGGAGAGCAGAATTCGGCAAAGATGTTGTGATTGATTTGGTATGTATTAAATTTTTAAATTGGTGAATAATTATTCCTACCTCTGCAAGTCTCTCTCAGGAACAGATATTGAACTGATATTTGGTATCAAATGTAAAATTGAAAGAAAATTAGATTTGTTGCCACATTACTGCTATGTAGGTCTTTAAAGAAAGTTATTATTTTTTAGCAATGGGATGTAGCTAAGGGTGCTTATGCGACCCATCCCTTTTTTGAGATACAAGTTTCAGCCAATTTCCAAAGAATCAGCAAGGCATGAACGTTTTCCAGTATTCCATATCTCAGACCTTCTCCCACATAAATGCTAGCAGGCTGATACACAAGAAATAGCTGCTACCGTATAAGAAACTTCATATGAGCTGCCAAGAAATTCATAAATGAACGGATCCAATATGGTGCCAAATTCTCCAAAACAACTTCATGAAAATTGTATGGCAGGCACCAAAGAGAATTGCCAATAAGATCTTGACAGTGTCGGGGTGAAGAAAGTTAAAACAATAAGTGAAGAGAAAGAGCACTTAGACACATATTTATTTACCCTGTGAGCAGAGCCTTTCCTTCTTTTCTTCTTCTTTTCTACTTTTCTTCTTTTCAACCCTCCAAGGGAAAAGGCTCTGCCGACATCCTGTTGTTGCGTTGAAATCCCAAAAGCCCAAAATTCCGGGCTAGTCAAGCCAGTTTTGCCTCCAGTCAAACCAGTTTTGGTGCGCATGTCTTTGTTTTTCATGTACACAGATGACCAAATCTGCGCCCACAATAGTTCAAGGGGGCCTGGAAAAGAATCAGTTTCTAGGCAAAAACCACACATGTTCAAACAAGCAACAACAAGATGTCGGCAGAGCCTTTTCCCCTTTTTGATTCGAGGACGGGTTAAAAAGGCTCTGCTCGCAGGGTAATATTTATTGCATATGCTCGCATCTTTTAGATGATCTAATTGCTGTCTAATTAACAATTTAAGGTTTGTTACCGTCGACATGGCCACAATGAAGGTGACAATCCAATGTTCACGCAACCAATCATGTACAAGAACGTCAATAAAAAGAATCATGTGTTGGACCTGTACGCAAAGAGGCTGATAGATGAGGGTGTTGTCACTGAGGAATGGCTTCAGGTACAGCTGTATGTGTGGATTATGCTCATAGAGAATGAGTGGGTGTGCCAGACAGAAAAATATTTGGTTCAAGGTCATGGTGCATAGACAGAGTGCAGTGACGTCCATTCCTTATGACTTAGAGCGAAGTATTTCTCATGCAGCCTGATTAACTCAGTACTGGTCATGAAGCACTTTTTCATATTTCTGTCACTCTTTCTTTTTCTTCTTATCTTCCTTTTTCTTCTTATCTTCCTTTCTTCTCACAGCTTGCACCAGGCAAGACCAAATTGGTTTTTACGGTCCTTCTCTGAGGCAATCAAGTGAGGCCATCAAGTTTGGTCTTCTTACATAGAATTTTTCCCTTGAATTTTTCAATAAAAGCACGGGCTGGTCTGTATGGGTCATACAACCCTTTTGATAGCCACAGATCTGTTAAGTCTAAAAGTGTGACCAGTCAACATAGCATTTGAAGTTCTTAGTTTGCAGTTGAGATGGGTGGCTGATGCGACTCGACACAATGATCCAGTCCCTTTATATAGCTGCATTAAATAATTATTAGCCTCCCCAATTTTGGATTGTCATACTGAAAAAATTATTTATGGCTATTTTTCTTTCAGGAAGAGAAAGCCAACTATGACAAGATCTGTGAAGAAGCATTTTCCGAATCAAAGTCTGACAAGCGTGTGCTGCTCAACAGGGATTGGCTTGACTCACCATGGAAAGGTGTGACATTCTGTTCAATTTTGCATGTCCATTGGAGGTTAAAATAATTGTTTTATTATACTACTTCTTCTTATCCAACTGCACTATGTAGAGTACAAATAAATTTGCAAATCAAGATTGATGTTATTTACCTGACATAATTCTCTTCTCTAGTTGCTACACATTTTGTAAATAGCCCACCGGTCTGCCTCCTGCCAGTGGGGATTTTTACACGCTTAGTTTACATTGTAGCTGAAAAGCCCCTTAGGAGGAGCTTAAATTTACATATTTATTTATTTACACATTTCCTTGTTAACAAGTGGAAACAACTTCTACCTTATTAGTTTGAGTATTCTCATTACCTTTTTTCTGGATAATGAATTTTTTTTTTGGGATATCACGGGGGGAGGAGTTAAAGGGTGAATGCAAATTTTTTTTATCCACAGATTTGTTTCAGAAAGTGTGACTCAGTTCCACCCAAAAGGGTTCATGTATTTATCAATTTCATTTGATAAAGGATAAAAGATAAACAGATGAACTGATATCTAAAATATCAGATGTACTTAATTATTTAAACAGTTCCCTATTGTGTGTTCCAACAGGATTCTTCCAAAAAGGCTATTGTCCTACCCAACCAGTGAAACCAACAGGAATCCCTCTTGAAACTTTGAAGCATGTAGGAAATGTGTTCAGTGCTGCTCCTGGTGGCGACTTCAAGGTTCATGGAGGTAAACAAGATGATCCCTCCCTAACTTGCCCCAAGCTATGGCTGCTCCGTAGCCATGACAACTGGGAAAAAACTTGAGACTGAATTTGCAGCCAAAGCTGCCAATGTGGGACTGGCCTCAAAAGTGTATCCCATTTTAATTGGTCTGAGGTCAAAACATTTCTCATAACTGTTGTTTTCTTCGATAACCATTTTTTTTTCATTATCCCTGGTTGTTATGGTAACAAGCCTTGACATTGCATATTAAATCTTCCAAAATAAGTGCTATGTATAAGTACAGAGTACTCCCTTCATCTAAGTAGGACAGGTTAAAAGGAATTTTCAGATTAGCAGAGCACAAAAAAAATTGAATTGTTCAGCTATTAGAAACAATTTTGGGGGGCATTAAGAGGAACTACAGGCTGTAACTTTTACCAGTTGCTGCCTGAAAAGGAGAACAATGACTCTAATTTGCTCGAGAGACAAGAGTTCTGTGGTTAGCAGTTTAATAGATTAATATGTAAAAGTTGTACACCAAGTCAGAGCAAGTACACTGTGCCTAGTCAAAGCCTGGATGTACATAGTAAGTGGCAGGCCTTGTTCTTAGTAACTGAATTTTCAATTTCAGGACTGCGCCGCATTCTTAAAGCGCGCCATGATCTTCTGGAAAGGGGTTACGTAGACTGGGCAATGGGTGAAGCCCTGGCATTTGGCTCTCTTCTGATGGAGAGTGTTCAAGTGAGACTCAGTGGACAGGATGTAGAGAGAGGCACTTTCAGGTAGATGTTAAACCCTTTCACTCATGATCTAGTTAGTGATTCTCCTTACTCTCTGAGATATAATTCTTGTGATGTTACTTTGGAGAATTTTGAATTGGATCAATTGCTTATCTCCTAGTTCATATTTTCCTTAAGTTTATTCTCATCTCTTGTTTGCTTGATATTGTATTGATATTGTAAGGAGAAATTCTGTCTTGGTCACTCATGGGAGTTTGAGGGTTAAGACACTGGGCCCAGTTGTGAAAGGGCTGATAATGCTATTCAGTAGATAAATCGCTGACTCTGAATATATCAAAATTGTACATGAGAACTGTGGGGTAAGAACTGAATATCAAAAGTGATCTTTGCAGTAATGAACACTACTTGATCAGTAGTGAAAATATGGCCAGAAAAAAAATTCAGGTCTGTACAGGATTTGAACCCATGACCTTTGTGATACGGGTGCAGTGCTTTAGAGAAATTGCTATCCAGCAGATAAGAGTGAACAAAACCCACAGTGCCGTCCCACTGTATTATCCACCCTTCAAACAACCAGGGCTGGTACTGTGTAAAAGTAATACATGATGACCTAACTGTTTAGGAGATTGCTGGCTTCCTTTGTTGCTATTTTTTTACAACACATACCCTTTAAAACTACTGAATGACAGAAGCTTTTTTACATGAGCCAATGGATTATATATATTTTTTTGTTTTTGTGTCAGTCATCGTCATCACATTCTGCATGATCAAGACAAAGATAAAGTAACTTACTGCGCACTGAATGACCTCAGCACAGAGCAGGCCCCTTACACAGTCTGCAATAGCTCCCTATCAGAATATGCTGTATTAGGTATGTTTATTCACATTATTCTTGTTCATATGTTTTAAAAGTTCCAGTATTCCTGAAACAATTCAGTTACTGATCGCATACGTTATTAATTAAGGTAAGGACAGTCATTATTTCTGGTGAGAAGGGATGGCATTTCAAGTCACTCAACTTGCATGATCACCTCCGATAAGACTTTCACATTTTCCTTCCTCGGCGATAGCCAACATTCCAAATTCCAATTCCATCAGGAGTCAAGTGTTTTTAACTTGAGCCACTGGCTCGGAAGATTGGGGAACCACTTCACCCAACAGTCCTTTTTGAGACTCTTGTCAATCTCCATTGCATCACATAATCAACAGCTGAATTACAGTAATTGTTAACTGTATCATTAACTTTCATGTGTTATTGGAGTTTTTTTGGAAGTAAAACAAATGTTATTTTATTTTGCAGGTTTTGAGCTTGGTTTCAGTATGACCAATCCATTTGCTCTTGTTTGTTGGGAAGCACAGTTTGGTGACTTTAACAATACTGCCCAGGTATATTAAAAATCAAATCCTACCTAATAAAAATCCTAAAAAACTTGCATTGATTCATAAACTTGCATAGCTAAACCAAATAAGAGTTCACTGGTAAAATTATCAACGTAAAAAGCAACCTTTGAATCTTTCAAATACTTGTAAACAATAAGTCTACTTGTCTTCTTTTAAACAATAAATCTAAAAGTCGATATTTACAAAGAGAATAATAAAAAAGGAACATATAACGGAATGTAAGTCTAAAATTCAGTGGACACGTTACTTTTCCTGGTTATATCAGTTTGAATGGAGTGATCAACATCTGATCTTTTTTAATCAAGATCATGGATTAAAGGCAAATAAATGGCCAACCGTTTTATTATCAGAGATCACTGGCTACTCTGATGCTGCTAATCTGTTAAGAGTGACCAGTACATTTAATGCAAATTTAAAAATAAAAAAAATAAAAAAGCTGGCTCAAATTGCTTGTTGCAACATTTGATTTTGCAGAATTTTTTTTTTTTTTTGGCAGAAACTTTCTTTATGCAGATCAGACCATCCTCAAAATCTGAAATAATTACGTTAAAACTGGCAAATGCCCAAGGCATGCTAAAGGGTTATTGTAACATTTGAGGTCATGCTACTTTTGTTTTTATTATCCTTTCAGTGTATTATTGACCAGTTTATCAGCAGTGGACACGACAAATGGGTCAGACAAAGTGGACTAACAATGTTACTTCCTCATGGATATGAGGGAATGGTGAGTGTGATTTGAAAGAAGAAATCATTGTATGTGATTTGTTGTTTGCATGTGACATGCTTTGTTTACTTCAAATTCTGAATAACAGGCATCTTAAACCTGTGGATTGTGAGCTGTTATGAAGTTGTTGTAAGGGCTAGAGATAAAAAAAATAGAATTTCTCAGTGGTGATGTCTAAATTTCATTTGTACAGTACAAAAGCACTTCAGTTGATTATTTGATTTCTTTCAGGGGCCCGAACATTCTAGTGCCAGACCAGAGAGGTTTCTACAAATGAGCAATGATAACCCTGAAGTTTTTCCAGTAATTATCTTGCATTTCCTTCTCTATTCAGTAATAGACCACTTTCATAAATGGCTGCCATAGAAATATTCTTTTGTTTAAATTTAAATTAGCCCTTCTGGGCTCGCTTGAGATAATGTATTCTTTTGAATTTTGTACTGGAGAACGAGGCCAGTAGGGCTAATTTAAATTTAAACAAAAGAATATTAATCCGGCAGCCATTTATGAAAGTGGTCTATCTACTATATATGGTTTATCAGCTATCATATGTTAAGATAACTTTACAGTTTGTTTGTTTTTGTTTTTGTTTTTTTTCCTTTTTTGGGCAGTTCATCTGAAGTGACTGTTTATTCCATAATTTGTTCTTTGTTATTTGTTGTTTTCATTTTTCTTTTTTTTTTTTTTTCGAGAATTTGTTGGAATTTGTCGGCAAAGAATCTCATTCATTCGCCAGTTCATTCATTTCATATTCGGTCAAATTCAGTATTGGTGGGTTTGTTTGTTATGCATGTTCTGTAACTTTCACATCTGCAGACAAATAATGAACTCTTTGAGGTGAATCAACTTTACTCCACCAACTGGCAGGTGGGTAAATTTTCTGAGTTTCACTATTCATAAATGTGAATCTTTTTGTTTCTTTCTTTTTTAAATTTTAATTAATATTCCCCTCTTAAATTGCGATTTTACAGAAACTGCACTTAAATCTGGGTCTCTTTTTCAGGTTGTGAACTGTAGCACCCCTGCAAACTATTTCCATGTACTGCGGCGACAGATTGTTTTGGAATTCCGCAAGCCTGTAAGTTTGTCTCAGTGCTTCTCTTCTTAGCCGAGACAAGAACAAGAATTTTATACCTAGTCAAGTTGTTTTTTTACAGATCTTTTGTTTTTTGTTTGTTTGTTTGTTTTACTTTTACTGTTATTATTACATCATCATCATTATTATTGTTATTATTATTATTTATTGTTATTATTGTTATGACGCAGTTTATTGAACTTCAGCATGCCAGGAAAAGAAAGTTTCATAGGGCGCACAGCTGCAGCGTAACCTGTGAAACTACACATCATTGCACTTATAAAACATATAAAAACCTATTTGCTAGCATGGAAAATTATTTAAGATACAACTAATACTAATATACCATTGCTAATTTACAATCTATTATTAATATACATAACAACTAAGTCACGTCCTGTGAATAAGATTACTGTAAAACTTATGAACTAAATTCTCTACATAAGTCGATTAATCTTCTAATATACGGAACTCAATATTTAAATTTCCTTCAATGTTTAAAACTATCCTTCAAATTAATTTAATTATTACTAATATTAATTAACTATCCTTCAAATTAATTAAATTATTATTATTATTATTATTATTACTATTACTACTATATTAAAGGAGATTAAGCTGTCTCAATAATTCAGTCATGTTTCTGTGGTGTTTTAAGTGACCTACAGCTTAAGGGAAACTCCAAAATATTAATTCAGAAATTTATAAATTCACAAGATAAGAAGAAGCAAGGCTGGGAAAAGATTGACAAGATTGGTCAACTTTATTATAGTCCATAAAGAGGAAAAGATCGGTTGTAAAACAAACTCTTTGTTTTCTCTCAGCTCATCTTGATGACACCAAAAAGTCTTCTTCGTTTAGAAGCTGCCAGATCTCATATTGATGAAATGGCAGAAGGTAAGTTTAAGAAAATGTTACTTTTGGTTTGTTAGTTGCATTTCACTTCCTTTGATTTGAAATCTTGAGTTTGCAATGTGATGCTGGAGTTTTTGTTTTCTAGAATGTACTGTAAGGTTCTTATAGACTGAAGGTTCACAAAATAATTGTTTCAACAATGAAAGTGTAAAAGAGAAGTTTAAATCATTTTAAATAGTTCTAGCTCGAGTGTAAGGGTACTTTTCATCTGAGTGAGTGTCTTTGCATTTCAATCAGCCTGCGTCAATGTTTGATGAATTAGAACTCTATGGTCTTGCATTTGAAATCTCTACAGACAACATTTAGCACCAAATAGAAATAGATTAAATTTAACTCGTACTTCAAATACAGGGACCTCATTTAGACGTGTGATCCCAGATTCTGGTCCAGCATCAGTTAATCCAGAGAAAGTACGCAAACTCCTTCTTTGTACGGGAAAAGTCTACTATGATTTGGCAAAGGTAAGAGCTAGGAACTGGAACTCATTTTAAATTTGTTTCCTTCTCTGTGCTCCCCTTACCACCCGACACCAGGCTCAGGAATCAAATCTGCAGCATAGCACTGCAAGTTGAACAGATCATCACCATTTTGCCATCTCTGCCATTATCGTCTTGTACCAAAGAAGTGGCAAAGTCCACATATCTTGAGCATGGCAAGCATGCAAAAGGTCTGACAGATCTTTGGAATCTTTTACACTTCCTGCCTGATGGGGGCCTCTCTCTTCCCGTAAACCAGAGCAAGATATTGTTGCTCAAGCTGAATTTTTGTTGTTGTTTTTTATTTTTTGTTCTCTACTTAAGGAACGAACCAAGAGAGGTCTTGAAGAAGATATTGCTATCTCTCGTGTTGAACAGGTAGAGAAGTACCAGTACCTTTTTCAATTATTGATCACCAGCAATTTCCTTTCCTTGCATTTCTTAACCCCTTAACTCCCAGATTTGCATGTAACTTCTCCCTGTAATATCCGTACATTATCCAGCAAACAAGTGATCAGAATATTCAAACTTATCATATAGTTAACAGTTATTCCACAAGCGCGCATTGGGTATGAGATGATGGATAGCCAACGAGGCGCGTAGCTCTGAGTTTGGTATAATCATCTCGTATCCAACAAGCACGAGTGAAATGATTGTTTTATTAAAAACATTAAACTAAATTATTACATTTTGTTAAATTTTTTAGCTCCCTTTTAATTTTAAGCTGATGCAT